CTGGTTATTCTGGCAATGCAATACCTTGTCCAGAAAGTGCTGAAGATGGGGTCCTTCTTTCTGATGATTTTGCTATATGCAACCTTTTTAGTGGGTATTTTTTAACTGTTAGCAGTAGCATATGCGAACCTGATACTAAAAATATTAACTATATGTCATCTTCACATCAAAGTATTTTTTTATATCCAACAACTAAGATGGAAATTGGACAAGTTATCCAAAAAGTTTGTAAGAAAAAATCGTCCGGTATTGATGAAATTCCTGGTCTTGTTATAAAAAACGTTGCCAATGTTATTTCTGAGTCTTTGACTCATATAGTTAACTCCACTTTCATAGAGGGGAGGTTTCCTGATATACTGAAAATGTCAAAGGTTTTGCCAATATATAAAAATAAGGGCTCGAGATCTGACTGTGCATCTTACAGGCCTATATCGCTACTTAGTCAGTTTTCTAAGATTATTGAATACTGTTTCTATCAAAGATTATATGATTACTTTGAATCATTTAGGTTATTTTCTTTTAGTCAGAATGCTTATAGAAGAAATAAATCCACAGTTGGTGCAATTGATCAACTCATTAAACATGTGTTGGAAATCTTGGACAACAAACAGCAGACTCACATGTGATTTGAGCAGAGCTTTTGACCTCGTTGACCATGACATACTGCTACACAAATTGCAGTTTTATGGTATACGCCCTGAATTGGGTTAGATCTTACCTGACCGGCCGTAGTCAGCTGGTCTGTGTGAATGGAATTAACTCTGTAAGTAAATGTATATTAAAAGGGGTACCTCAAGGCTCTGTTTTAGGACCTCTTATTTTTGGTTTTTATTAATGATCTTCCGAAATTTTGTTCGAAAGCTTCCATTACTATAATTTTTGAGGATGACACTAACATCTTGGTATTTGCGGAAACTATGTCCGAAGTAATTGTCAAAGATAATGAAGTAACTGATCAAATTGAGGAGTGGTGTTCTACAAATGGCCTGCTGCTAAATTCTGCCAAATCTCAAATGTTCAACTTTGTTACTAAAAATATAACTATTGATAAAAGCTATTTGGTAAGATTAAATAATGAAATTTTACATCAAGTTAATTGTACTAAATTCTTGGGTGTTGATATTGATTATAAACTTACCTGGAGATTCTATGTTGATAGTGTCAAACTGAAGCTCAGTAAACATATAAGTATATTTACTTCGTAGGTTGAAACAAACAGTCTCTTTTGATGTTCTCATGCTTTCATACCACAGTTTAATTCAGTTAGTGATTTCCTATGGTCTTGAACAGTGGGGCTTATCAGCTAAAGCAGATGAAGTGTTTGTTATTCAGAAAACGGTAATCAGAATTCTGGCTGGGGCATCTTCAAGTGCAAACTGCAGGCCATTAATCATTCGTTATAGTGTATTAACAATGCCTAGTTTGTATATCTACCAAACTCTGATGTATATAAGAAACAATATTTCAATTATTCCTAAAAATGAGCAAATCTATGAACATTTCACCAGAAATAACCCTCAACTTTATCAGCCTTATAGTAGATTGACAGTATCAAAGAATCACCCCATGTGCTGTGGGATTAAACTATATAATAAGCTTAGTGATGACATTAAGTCCTCAAACATCAATGTCTTTAAAAGGCAGCTCAAGGTTTTTCTATTGCAGAAAGCATACTACTCTGTGGATGAGTTTCTCCTTGAATCATAATTTGATCGTAGCTTAGTAATTTTATTTTTATTTAAGTTATGCTGTATTTGATTTTTTATAATAGTTTCACCTGTTGTATCAGCCAGTATTTTATGATGATGTTTGCCTAATGTGATTGTAAATGAAAACTGATTCAACAAATGTTTGATTCATTGATATATGATAGCAAATTATATCACTTATAGTTTGCATTTGCAGGTGCACTCCCAATAGGTGATGTTATCATTTAAAATCCTCTGGTTGCTGGTATTTGCTGTATTTCTTAAAATCAAACCTACGATATGCTACCGATCTAGGCCAGGTCGTTGGTTTGTATACCTATTTCATCTTCTAAATGAAAATCCATGCCAAACATAAAACATTTGTTCTGGCTCTCATTAGTTTGTAGTTCTTTAACTACAACATCAGCTTTTTTAAAGACCTCTTGTTCCTTTGAAAACTTGTACATTTTTTCACAAGTAATTTGACTTCTTACTCGGTAAAGAGGCCTTCCTTGTGAATCTAAAGCTGTTTTTATATCAAAAATTAATGGTAAAGTAATGATACCCAAGCATTTTTAGAAAAAAATAAAAATAATTATTTGTCAATATCTTTTAATTCATTGCGATGAATAGCCTCAAATTTTATGGGGAGGCCAAGCCTCCCTTGCCTCCTCTGACGAGCCGCCGCTGCTAGGGACCATCCATAAATTGCGTCACACGAATTTCATGATTTTTGACCCCCCCTGTCCTTGTCACAGCCGGTCACATTTATGAGACTCTCTCCTTCCCTAGTGTGACGCCACACATTTTACGAGTTTACATCTAGAAATAACTATTGAATTGAAACAGCAGTTCCGAAATTTATTTTATTTCAATTCGAATTATTTTTTCTATAAAATTAACTTCAAATCAACAAGAAATAAGGAAAACAAAAAGAAGATTAATTATAATAAGCCACTTCGTTCTTATTTGGGTTGTTAATGTCAGAAACATTCGTTGTGTCAACATCTTTTTCATCCAACCATACAGCATCATCGCCATCATTCAAACAAAAAATTTTTGTGGCACGTCTGGTAGCAATTCTTTGAGGACGAATCATCGCGATGGGCAATACTTGTTGTTTCTTATATATAATTGCTTGTCTTGATTAGTGGCCTTGTATGATGCATAATATAGACCACAGATGTCACATGAGCGATTAAACAAGTATGCCTCGACACAGCATATGACTTTCGACGATGTGTAGAATTTTGAAGGTTAGGTTAGGTTAGGTTGGTGACTTACCCCAGTAAGTCACCACTATTTGAACACTTTGAGGAAACTGACATTTAACTGTATATGTCCAGCAATTGTCATGAGGGTCTCTGTCTTGTAGATAGGATAACGTTTAGCATCATTTAATTTCGTGAGTATGAATGCTCAATGCACACAAGAATTACAATAACTCATGTGAAAAGATAGAATAAGAAAAATAACTAGCTAGATGTACTGTAGACAAGACAACTTTACTGTAACATTTTGCATTGCATTTTGCAATGCAAAATGCAATGTTTCACATCGGTAGTTAGAGAAGGGGTCAGATTCGACATTGTAGGGATAGACAGAGGTTTGGATTAACATAGGTAGGAATTTAAAAATCTAGGTATTTGTAGCTTACAATATTTACGTGAAATAGACTTAAAAATACGGGTTGCTCAAGAAAAGATATTCGAGAATATTGATTTTATGAGGATAAGTGGATTAGAAAAGACCCGTGCATAAGAAGACCAACTGGAAAACCCTGATTAGGAAATCTTTGGGAATAATGAAAAAATTAAATAACTTAAACAAGATTAGTTAACACTACATAAAATAAAAATAATTCCATAAAACAAACTGTTTTGTTGTACAAATTTTAAAGCTGGCAACTCTAGGCTAAATACTAAAAAATTAAGATTCACTTGAAAAACATTATAATTTCGATTGCAAGATTTTGAGACCGAACACTACTTGAAAAATAATAGAATAGTCATGAAAAATAAGAAATAAAACTTTCGTTTTTTTACGTAATGTTACTGCAGTTTCGTCATATAAGAACACTCTCAAAACACTTACAATAAACTGAAAATAAATCATAATGTTAACCCTTATAACTACTCAAGGTAATATTATGATTTATTTTCAGTTTATTGTAATTGTTTGAAAATGTCCTAATAAGTTGAAATTGCAGTATTATTAGTAACGAATGAAAGTGGTAAAAAACAGAAAGTTTAATTTCCATCAATTTTATTGAAAAAAAAACTAATCAATACAGTTTATTGTATGATTTTCACTCTAAAAGGGTTTTACAAAAACCGCGACACGTGTATTGATTATTATTTTTTTAATATGGATTTTCATGAAGTATTGGCCAGTTCTATTCAATTTTATTGAATACTCACCTGTGCTTAACTTGTTTCTTCCTTTCTCTCTTTCTCTCTTGTTACTCAAATATTCGGATTACATTGTTCAATTAATTTTTGGTGTCAGTGATCAATATACTGATTGATTGGGATTGTGGTTTGCCATTTTTATTTCATTTCTATTGGTAAGTTGTGGCAATGATTAAAGTATAATTGGGAACTTCTGGCATTTCAGTTTATCTGGTACCCAAATAAATAACTTTAACGAACTCGCCCCTTCTCCTTTGTAGCATGCCTTCGTGACAGACAACCAATTGTGGCTCGTAGTGGGAAGGTTACACTAATAACGGAAACCTTAGCTGCAGGCAATTCAACGAAGTGCCAGAAACAACTCATTATGTCTTATGCGAAATGCGGAAGTGAGAACTGGATCATAGAAGGCAAGAAAGTTATGGAGAATCCAAATCATATCCAGAAAAATATCACAGAAATCGCACAAAAAATTTGTTCAGATTAGTACAGAAAAAACTATTGGGCTTAATAACCTGCCGGGTAGAAAACTACCCTGAAGGTTATTGAGCTTTAAATTGTAGCATAATGTAATATTCAAGTTTTTAGAATATACTAAACTTTTTAAATATAAAGTTTGATATAAGTTACATCAAATTTAAATGAAAGAATAAAAAAATTAACTGAAACCAAAAAAAAATCAAGCATCATGATTGAAAATCATCTCAAGATTACATGTTACCTAGATTGTACCAGAGTGCCAGAGTGAACCACGTTACCATTTACCATCAGTTGAATCTGTTTCTTCTTTCAAATATTTCAATATTTCGAATGTAATCTTTTTATAATTATTTTCGCACCAGGCAGAAAACTGGGTTACAGTGTATCAAAATATCTACTTATTACTACAATGATAACAATATTTTTACTGGTGCACTGTATATATTTACATCAGAATAATTCTTGTATTCCATCAATTATTTTATAATTATATATTGATACTATCCCTGGGGGTCAAATCACAAATTCAGTTTTCCTTTTTTTTATACAGAAAGTCGCTCAGAGCGCCCCAATCACAATAACTTGTTAGTTTGATTAACTGACAATCTTTTCCATTGAAAATATATCCATCAAGACATTCCAGTTCCACGGGAGACTGCTTTTCAAAACACCTGAAGAATTTTTGACAGCTATACTTATGGAAGGCATATTCATCCGTATTGCATGCTCCCAACACATGGCTGTAGTGATTGCGTTTGTAATGATAATTTAAATCACACTTATTGATTTGTGGGTTGAATCTCGTTTTGCTTGGACAGTCAACTGAAGTTAAATAATGTATATTTTCTCCTAGAATGTCGACACATTTGTAATATTTTGTTTCATTTGATGGATCTGGAAAAATGCCAGAACCAGAACACAGTTTCACAGGTCTGAAAAGTACATGTTGCTGATATTTCTGATATGTTTCTTTGTGAGCAGTACACTCCGGTACATATTTAGGTAGATCGCAACGACGTTTTCTAGCATTGAATTTTAGACAATTTGGACACTCGTAGACTCCTGACGAAATAATTTTTCCACACTTTTTACTGTAGTAACATTCGTAATGTTGGGTGCATGATTGATTGAGACGGAAAAAACCTTCTTCAAAACATGGTCGATCTGAAACAGTAATGAGGAAAATAAAATGAGTTTTTTTTTCAATTCAAAAAGATTTTTGAGAAATAGAAGTGTTAACCGAATGGAATAACTGCATAAATAGTTTTGATAAGAGGTGTAAATATCTTGTGTAATTACTATGAAAAATAAGCAAATGATGTCTTCTTATTGTCACGACCATGGTGAATCTAACAGCTGTAGAAAAATTAGAACATATGTCGTCGTTCGGAAGTAGTTGAATTTGGGGGTATCGACCGACGGATGAATACTTAGGTACTAGGTATATATTATTCGGTTCGGATAACCGAAACAAAGAGCAAATATCTTATCATTTTGAAAGACCAAAGTACGTTCACATTTCGAATTCATATGTACCTCGGGTCTTATTGTTAAGAGTTCATGTGCTTATCAAGGTTATTACCTGAATGTGTTTGACATATTGTAGCGGATTTCCCTTCGGTTTCAACAGTGGCGTCATCTGGATATTCTTCTGTGGTTTCATCTGCTGATTCCATAGTCTCTGAAATTCCATTGATATCTGTTGGATTTTTAGTAGTCGCCCCTTTCTCCTTGGTCTGGTCCACCGATTTGATATTTTCTGATGTCTTAATATCATCTGTTGAGCTCACGATGCTTGTTTCATTATCCACTGTATTGGCTCCTGAATTTGTTGTATCCGATGTTTTATTGCCATCTATTGAATACTTAGCCGTTGTCTTCCCATATCCAGTATTCTTTGGATATCTTCGTGTTGCCTCTTCAGAATTTTGATCATCAGTAGATGTTTCTTTAGGATTACTCTGATCTTCTGTTTGTTTCTTTTCGGAAATATGAGTTACGTCAGTTGGAGACCTTTTTGTTTTCTCTTCAGGAATATCAGGTTGATTTCCTGGTTTTTGAGTAGATTTTCCATCATGATTAGTTTGATATACTGATTGACCATTTTCTGAAGTTTCGTCCACTGGACTCCTTTTGATTGTTTCTTTAATTTCTTCTGAAGTAACATTCTCAGAAGTTTCCATGACTTCTCCAGTTGTTCCAGTTGCTGTTTCTTCAGAAATGTCAGGTTCATTTCCCGGTTTTTGAGTTGATATTGTATCATGATTAGTTTGAGTTTCGTCTACCGGACTCCTTTCAGTTGTTTCGCTAATTTCTGCTGAAGTGACATTCTCAGAAGTTTCTGTGTCTTCTCCAGTTGTTTCAGTTGATGTTTTTTCACGATGACTTTGATCGCCAGGTTTTCCATTTTCAGAAATCAGAGTTACGCCAATAATTTTTTTGGGCGTTTTATGTTCAGGAATTTCAGTTTCATCTCCTTGTTTTTGAGTTGATATTCCATTAGGATTAGTTTGACCTTCAGGTTGACCATTTTCTGAAGTTTGAGTTCTGTCCACTGGGTTTCTTTCTGTTGTTTCGCCAATTTCATCTGAAGTGGCATTCTCAAAAATTTCTGTTTCTTCTTCAGTGATTTCAGTTGATGTTTCTTCAGGATTGTTCCGATCCCCTGGTTGTCCATCTCCGAAAATTTGAGTTACGTCAACTGCAGTTTTTTGTGTTGTCTGTTGAGGAATTTCAGTTTCCGGATTAGTTTGACCATTTGGTTGACCATTTACTGAAGTTTGAATTTTATCTACTGGATTCGTTTTCGTTGGTTCGCTAATTCCTTCTGAAGTGACATTCTCAGAAATTTCTGTGTCTTCCTCGGATGTAACAGTTGATGTTTCTTCAGGATTACTCTGATCTCTTGTTTGTTCATTTTCGGAAATCTGAGCTACGTCAACTGAAGTCCTTTTCTCTTCAGAAATGTCAGGTTCATTTCCCGGTTTTTGAGTTGATATTCTATCATGATTAGTTTGATATGATTGACCACTTTCTGAAGTTTGAGTTTCGTCTACTGGACTCTTTTCAGTTGTTTCGCTAATTTCTTCCGAAGTGACATTCTCAGAAGTTTCCGTGTCTTCTCCATTTGTTTGAGTTGTTGTTTTTTCAGGATGACTTCGATCGCCGGGTTTTCTATTTTCAGAAATAAAAGTTACGCCAATAATTTTTTTGGGCGTTTTATGTTTGGGAATTTCAGTTTCATCTCCTGGTTGTTGAGTTGATACTTCATCAGGATTAGTTTGACCTTCAGGTTGACCATTTTCTGAAGTTTGAGTTCTGTCCACTGGGTTTCTTTCCGTTGTTTCGCCAATTTCATCTGAAGTGGCATTCTCAGAAATTTCTGTTTTTTCTTCAGTGATTTCAGTTGATGTACCTTCAGGATTATTCCGATCCCCTCGTTGTCCATCTCCGGAAATTTGAGTTACGTCAACTGCAGTTCTTTGAGTTGTCTGTTGAGGAATTTCAGTTTCAGGATTACTTTGACCTCCTGGTTGACCTATGTCTGAAGTTTGAATTTTGTCTACTGGATTCGTTTTCGTTGGTTCGCTAATTCTTTCTGAAGTGACATTCTCAGAAGTTTCGGTGTCTTCCTCAGATGTTACCGTTGATGTTTTTTCAGGATTACTCTGATCTCTTGTTTGTTCATTTTCGGAAATCTGAGTTACGTCAACTGGAGTCCTTTTGTCTTCAGAAATGACAGGTTCATTTCCCGGTTTTTGAGTTGATATTTTATTATGATTAGTTTGACCTTCAGGTTGACCATTTTTTTTAGTTTCCGTTCCGTTCACTTGATTTCTTTCAGTTGTTTTGCCAATTTCATCTGAAGTGGCATTCTCAGAAATTTCTGTTTCTTCTTCAGTGATTTCAGTTGATGTTTCTTCAGGATTATTCCGATCCCCTGGTTGTCCATCTCCGGAAATTTGAGTTACGTCAACTGCACTTTTCTGCGTTGTCTGTTGAGGAATTTCAGTTTCAGGATTAGTTTGACCCCCTGGTTGACCAGTCTCTGAAGTTTGAATTTCGTCTACTGGATTCGTTTTCGTTGATTCGCCAATTCCTTCTGAAGTGACATTCTCAGAAGTTTCGGTGTCTTCCTCAGATGTTACAGTTGATGTTTCTTCAGGATTATTCTGATCTCTTGTTTGTTCATTTTCGGAAATCTGGGTTACGTCAACTGGGGTCCTTTTCTCTTCAGAAATTTCAGGTTCATTTCTCGGTTTTTGAGTTGATATTCTATCATGATTAGTTTGATATGATTGACCACTTTCTGAAGTTTGAGTTTCGTCTACTGGACTCCTTTCAGTTGTTTCGCTAATTTCTTCCGAAGTGACATTCTCAGAAGTTTCCGTGTCTTCTCCATTTGTTTGAGTTGTTGTTTTTTCAGGATGACTTCGATCGCCGGGTTTTCTATTTTCAGAAATAAAAGTTACGCCAATAATTTTTTTGGGCGTTTTATGTTCGGGAATTTCAGTTTCATCTCCTGGTTGTTGAGTTGATACTTCATCAGGATTAGTTTGACCTTCAGGTTGACCATTTTCTGAAGTTTGAGTTCTGTCCACTGGGTTTCTTTCCGTTGTTTCGCTAATTTCATCTGAAGTGGCATTCTCAGAAATTTCTGTTTCTTCTTCAGTGATTTCAGTTGATGTTCCTTCAGGATTATTCCGATCCCCTCGTTGTCCATCTCCGGAAATTTGAGTTACGTCAACTGCAGTTCTTTGAGTTGTCTGTTGAGGAATTTCAGTTTCAGGATTACTTTGATCTCCTGGTTGACCTATGTCTGAAGTTTGAATTTCGTCTACTGGATTCGTTTTCGTTGGTTCGCTAATTCTTTCTGAACTGACATTCTCAGAAGTTTCGGTGTCTTCCTCAGATGTTACAGTTGATGTTTCTTCAGGATTACTCTGATCTCTTGTTTGTTCATTTTCGGAAATCTGGGTTGCGTCAACTGGGGTCCTTTTCTTTTCAGAAATTTCAGGATCATTTTCCGGTTTTTGAGTTGATATTCTATAATGATTAGTTTGATATGATTGACCACTTTCTGGAGTTTGAGTTCCGTCTACTGGACTGCTTTCTGTTGTTTCGCTAATTTCTTCTGAAGTGACATTCTCAGAAGTTTCCGTGTCTTCTCCAGTTGTTTGAGTTGATGTTTTTTCGGGATGACTTCGATCGCTGGGTTTTCCATTTTCAGAAATTAGAGTTACGCCAATAATTTTTTTGTGCGTTTTATGTTCGGGAATTTCAGTTTTATCTCCTGGTTGTTGAGTTGATATTTCATCAGGATTAGTTTGACCTTCAGGTCGACCATTTTCTGAAGTATGAGTTCTGTCCACTGGGTTTCTTTCCATTGTTTCGCCAATTTCATCTGAAGAGGCATTCTCAGAAATTTCTGTTTCTTCTTCAGTGATTTCAGTTGATGTTCCTTCAGGATTATTCCGATCCCATGGTTGTACATCTCCGGAAATTTGAGTTACGTCAACTGCACTTTTTTGTGTTGTCTGTTGAGGAATTTCAGTTTCAGGATTAGTTTGACCCCCTGCTTGACCAGCCTCTGAAGTTTGAATTTCGTCTACTGGATTCGTTTCTGTCGGTTCACTGATTCCTTCTGAAGTGACATTCTCAGAAGTTTCGGTGTCTTCCTCAGATGTTACAGTTGGTGTTTCTTCAGGATTACTCTGATCTCTTGTTTGTTCATTTTCGGAAATCTGGGTTACGTCAACTGGGGTTTTTTTCTTTTCAGAAATTTTAGGTTCATTTCTCGGTTTTTGAGTTGATATTCTATCATGATTAGTTTGATATGATTGACCACTTTCTGAAGTTTGAGTTTCGTCTACTGGACTCCTTTCAGTTGTTTCGCTAATTTCTTCGGAAGTGACATTCTCAGAAGTTTCCGTGTCTTCTCCAGTTGTTTGGGTTGATGTTTTTTCAGGATGACTTCGATCGCTGGGTTTTCCATTTGCAGAAATTAGAGTTACGCCAATAATTTTTTTGGGCGTTTTATGTTCAGGAGTTTCAGTTTCATCTCCTGGTTGTTGAGTTGATATTTCATTAGGAATAATTTGACCTTTAGGTTGACCATTTTTTGGAGTTTCCGTTTCGTTCACTTGATTTCTTCCAGTTGTTTCGCCAATTTCCTCTGAAGTGGCATTCTCAGAAAATTCTGTTTCTTGTTCAGTGATTTCAGTTGATGTTTCTTTCATTCCGAAGGTAATTTTCCTTCAAAGTTAACAGGGAAAATACCCGGTTCGTTACATTCAATTTTTGTCACTATTGGACAATCTGAGAAGATTAGATTTGTGTCTGTTTTTTTCATTGTCACACAAGATTTCTGGAAGTCATCAAATTCAGACATATCTGCGCATTCACCCACAATTATCATATCTCGCAAACATATCAAGTAATTTCTGAAGAGTCTTTGGTCAGGATGTTTCAATATACCAATATAATCATTTGGGCAGCTATGGCCCTCCATAACACAAGTTCGAAAACCTCCACCAGGTATTTTATGGCAAAGAGAGGCTGTTTTGTTGAAAATTTCATTATCTTCACAGTGATGTTCCACCGTATGCCACCTGCCATTTCGTTTTTCGCAGGAGCAATATGCTGAGAAGTGAGGGTGTGTAAATATTTGAGACCGATGGCTACATCTGCTTGGACACCATTCACCCAATTGTTCAGGAATAAATTTGTCATAGTATCCTAAATAATCTCTCAAGATATCATCATTTTCGATGTTTAATCTTCTTTCCACCTGCAAAAATAATGGAGTATTAGTTAAAAATGCATCAAATAATTTAAAAGGTTTGGGCATATTTTTTGAAACTAGTTAGGGCGATTAGTTAGTAACACAGTTTTACTATGAAAATATACTAGGGAGCTTGTTTGATATCACCATGTGATTTCTAGACCCTGCCTGCAGCTGGAGCCTGTGCAACGCGCACTGGTATCTCCGTTAATGACGCCTCTGGTGATAGACCATCCAATCCCACCCAATCGGTTTCCATCAGCTTCTTCTAGTCAGATCTCATACATTTGTACCGTTTCTGCGCCGTCTCTCAATCATATCTACTCAGTTCCCTGTATTCAATAAAAAATTTGCAGTAAATACCATCAATGGCTAGACAATTCGGACTCCTAATGAGCTCGATAGATCAGTTCTAGTTTTTGAGCTTTCCGCTATGAACGTTTTTGATGCAGCAACCTTTAAGAAAAAGTACCCGCTTGGCGGAATCCCCTCCAAGAATAATATTGTTAAGAAGAGTTTATCAGCGGACACTGTTCTCTGCGGCCAACCGAAAGTCCAATTAAGTTTTATGATGTCTGTAGACTGGCCGGGAGTAATCGCGTTATATATTAATGAACCTATTAAATCGAAGGATAGTTCAGCATAATCCTCTTATAAACCAATAGTCAAAACTTGATCGTAAGATAAATATCCTTTCATTAATTCGCATCTGAGGACAAATTGCTCCTCACCTTGTACGACATTCATAATAAGATATTTAATGGTAATCAGAGAGTTTTATAATTAACGTTCATGAAAACTCGTTAGTTAAAGAACTGTAGCTTACACTATCGATAACCTCTCACACTTTAAAAGGCACTGCTACCTAGTGGAGTGAGGTTCCTATGACCACTTGACAATGGTGAGATTTTTTTCCATCTTACACCTCAATCAGAACGGAATTCACACGGTTATGACGACAGTAACGTTCGACATAACCTTGTATTATTAATACTCGTTTGTTCTCCTGACTAAATGGTTAAGGACCTGAACTTCAATACGATTCAAATCAAGATCATCCACTTTCTATTTCAGCCAAACGGCTCATCTCTTACCTACAATAAGGCATTGATGAACATCAAATATATGGAAGTAGCCTTTAGAATAACTGTTACCTATATAACTGTTACAAACATCTGGTACCTATATTTCACCGATGTGATGTTGATAAAAAACAAGGCAGTTTATTTACGTTGTTATATAACTTATCAAATAAGCTTGTACTCCGTTTTCATAGTATGTTATTGAGAATATTCGTTCGAATTGCAGTTGAAACACAGCAAAAACTATTTACGAAAACCGTTTCCTTTCAAATAAGAAAACTGATGAACATAATGTCAATAGTTCAAGTATGCTATAGATATTTATCATTACTTCGAAACGTGAGAAGGCCCAATATTCCGTCAGGATCATGACCAATCAGTTGACGACCATGAATTCGACAATAACAAATTTGCACCTATTTAACATTCCGAAGGCTTTCGATTGCGTGTGACCTATTGCATCAATGATCTTTAGGTTCTGCTCAAGCTTTTTTGGAAGATAGAACCTTTCAAGAAAGTTCTACAGGGAGCTCTGCTCTCTCACCCCCCTTCACAACTGTAACGTGAGCGAAACGAGCTTATATGCCAAATGCAGAGGGGAAGTAAGATCTTACTCCACTAGATAGTCTCCGGGGTGTGAAATAGATTGGAAGATGAACGTCGAATGTCTAGATCTAGTGATATACTTGAGACTCTCAGTATATTGTTACCGAAATTTTTAGTTGATTGAAAAATCATGGCAAAAATTTATTCTCTCATTTACCGAAGAAGTAAACTCTACTTTACGAACAAAGTTCATTTTGTATGCTTCAGTCATTCGAAAACAAAGCGTAGCCTATTAATATTGGAAATAACTTCCTGAGAATATCAACGTTCTATGTTTTGGTAGAAATATGTATTGGTCTGAAATTGCCGTCTATACAGCAATCAAGGGGAGTTTTCGAGACAGAGCAAATACACAGAAATTCGGCAGGACCTCATACATTTATATACAGGGTGGACCATCGAAAACTTGACATGGAGGTTTTAGGTTCTAATCTTGCAAATCCGGGGCACTATCGAATGGCCAACACGATCACCAGACCTTTCGCCGTTAGATTTATTTCTGTGGGGTTATTTGAAAAGCAGAATTTACTGTACTCCTCCTACATCATTCGAAGATTTACGGCAACGAATCACAAATGAATGTCACCAAATCACTCCAGAAATGCTCCACAATGATCGAGAACGTTTCCAGCAGAATCTCCATTATTGCATGGAAGCTGAAGGTGCCCATTTTGAGCATATGCTAACATGAGAATTGTAATATACTGAACTCAATAATTTGATGGAACTCAGAATATTCACAACTAATATTAATATAAATATGCGTTCAGGAATAATGAAACAAGATGTTTCACTTTTCATATTCTATTTTCCACTGGTTGGAATGTCAATATAAAAAATATATACAAAAAAAAGTAGTTTAACATTCCCGTAAAAACAATATACCACCGCTCGATGTACATACAGAGTGTATCTATAATGAATATCTTACAAGAATAAAGTAAGTAACTTCAACTCTAAATTTAATATGGTTCGTCCAAATGAAAAAAATGTACACCGTTGTTTACAGAACTCCAAGATCTTTCAAACGATGGGCGACTCGCCCCCTATTTAAATCCCAAGGGTTGTTCACCCCTCTGCTCCGGGGTTGAAGTGACGACGCTGTAAATGGGAAAAAAACTGTCCCCCTCCCAATGAAAATCGACCTATCTGAGCGTTTTTTAGGATTAGCAAGATTAGTACCCAAAACCTCCATGTCAATTTTTCGATGGCCCACCCTGTGTTATGACCAAGGTGATTGCTATGGTAGTTGGAAAACACATGCTCTTCTTGAAACACTTTATTTTACCTCAAATGTCAGCGCTGAAAAATGAATGGACATATCGTGGGTATGGGATAGGTTCACATGAATATTATAACAGGGGTTATTTATTCAAAACAATGTTCATCAAAGAAAAGCAATAACAAAGTGAAAATCATTTCTGTTTATTTGTTTGGCCATAAAAAATTGCCATGGCTAAACAGACAAATTTTTCATTTCTACTAGATAGAATAAATAATCGTTCTTTAAACCCGAATACTATCTGCACTTTGTTTCTGATGTTGGCTGCTGTTGAAATAATTAATAGGAAAGTTGTAGGGAAGATGGAGGCAATTTTCGTTATTTTCATTCTTTATCAGAGGGACAGAAATGTTCGCACGTCTGATAAGGAACATGCCGCTTTATTTTCTATTTGATAACGTGCGTGTAATTTTGGAGATAAATGGACATTTTCTGATTTCCTCGGAAGTGATCTTTGAATATCAAATACTGAATTGACTGGGAAAAATTTACTGCCGAAGTGTGATGCTAAATCTGAATAATGAACGCGATAAACTTAAAACAATGGTGAAACACATGTTCTTATTGAATGTTGAAAACATGGTTTTTTAATGTCCGAAGAAGTAATAGATTTGAAACTTCACGGTATCATCAATGAAATTGACATTAACAAAAATGAAAAATTTTGTCGAAGACTAGTCAGAAAGTAATTTTAGTTTGGAATATACCTATTAGAAATATGAAATAGTTGTGTAAGCCTTACTCAGACTGGCTTGTCCTTTAAGGACAGTTGAGTCCAGCAATGTGATTCAGCCTAGCACCCCTGCTGAGACGGGTCAAAACAGCGCTGTCTGGTGTTGAATCATAAACGAATTTTTGGTTTTAGGTTCTACGAAATTCAGGTTCTAGGACGTCAGGATCATGCGCAGTTGATATAGAGCGTTCTGGTTTATTGAGGATAATTTCGGACTGATGAATTCTTTGTTCTGGTTTCGACTGCGAAATGATTCTAAACTGCTTTGAACCGTCCCGAATCGTTATTGCTCTCGAGGCTGAACTATTGAGAACTGTTCCCGTTGCTCATGCGCATTCATGTGGAAATTTGTTTGGGCTGTTTGCTAGGATGTTTTTTTATTTATTTGATTTGAATAAATGATGATTGAGGGTATATAACATTTGAACTGACTATAGGGATACGCTACATAACAAAATGGACATGATTAATAGTATTTTCTTGTCTTCATCTCTTCATATATACGATAGGTGGCACAGTGGTCTCCTCAAAAGCGTTCTGGTTTAATCAAGTGTCCGAGACTATTTCGGACTGTTTGAGATTTTTTGCTTGTACGCACCAAGTCTTGCGCCGTTTCGGAACAGTTTCGTATGTTAGAACCAGAACAAACCTGTGTGTTTGGGCTTTTGTTTCAACCAGTTGCCTTGAAGTGAAAGCTGCTGAGAAAGACAGATAATCTTGTTTATCTTTGATATTCGTGGATTGAG